TCCGGTTTGAAGAGCGTTTTCGAAAAGCTTCATTTTCATGACGGATTGGTGTGGACGATAGGCATAGCCGAAATAAAGCTGCGTTTTCAAACTGTGATTTCTCCGGCGTAGTGAGGAAGGAGTCACAGATGCCATCTTAGCTGCCGATTCCAGACCCACGCCTCTCACTACCAACCCCTCTGCCACGTCTCCTCCACGCTTGTTTAACTTGGTACGTGATAGAATTTCATCGTGTTTTCGATACGTGAAATGATTTCCTTGAAGGATATTCTTCTGGACACTTGACGGGTTATATATTGGTTGGTGAACGCGATATAAACTAGCACTTTCTTTGTATTTGTTTTTCGTGCCATTTTAAAAACAACGGTGCGCTGAAACTCGGCTTTTCTTGATATACGCCCGTGTAAAAACAACGTTTGAAGAAACTGTTTTTCTAACCTTATTCTGAATTTGGTGGCGAGCGAAGCAAACATTATTAAATTCAACGATTGGGGCGTTTTTTCGTGCACGAATTACTTGGCCTAAATATCATTTTGAAAGAAGCCACTGTTTTCTATCGGGAGCATATCGCTAGAACATATCTAGTGCCTTAAGATGTGATGATTGCACTAATTTGAAAACGTTCCATAGAAATAGGCAATAACTTGATTATCTGACCTGATTAACAACTGGATCAATACAACATTTTTACGCAATCCTTGGACAAGAAAAGCACCGTTAATCACTTCACCGCGATGCCACGCCCAGCGGAATACGTGAAAAAACACGAACCGTTAGATCTAATACAATCAACCAATCTGCTGAACTTCATAGTTTAATTTCTGGCATATAATTTCAAACACATTTCTTCTTAGTTGCAAATTGACCCCCTTTGAAAAAAAATTCACGAATGTTAACATACAACTACGTAACTCCCGACTTTCATTCATTCGCTAATATATCACCGCTACTTACTGCTTCGATGCTTGTCTATCGTAAGTTAACATTCTTTCACGCCTGTTCCGCAGCAAATCATAGGTAACAATTTATAATCCNCGCTACTTACTGCTTCGATGCTTGTCTATCGTAAGTTAACATTCTTTCACGCCTGTTCCGCAGCAAATCAAAGGTAACAATTTATAATCCAAAGTGAAGAATAGCACCATGAACACCGAGGAATAATGATTGTGTCTTAACACCTGAGAACACAACCCAAGGAGACCCCTAAACTTTAAGTGAAGGTGTGGTATCTCTTTGAGCTTAAAATTCGGCCATGTACCACTCAGGGTATTTGTATCTCTTAAATGGCCACCACTAACCCGACCTTGATTTATTGCAGAGCGCGCAGTTTCTGTTAGTCACTGGGTGTCAGCATGTCTGTCTGGGGATTTTCAAGATGCTACAGAAGCAAGGCAAAACAGCATGGCAGAAAAAGAAACGGAAAAGGAGCCCATAAAAATTAAATGTTAGAAATTAAACTATTTTAAAGAACCTTAACACAGATTTCTGCATTGCAGACCTATATTTCTAATAACTGGTCACTTTTAGTTGGACAGCGTAACTTGAAAATGCCTCGTTTTAAAGTCACTTTTTGTTTTGTTGATTAGTAATGCAGTTAAAATGCCGCAAACTAACAGCTCCAGAAGGAGGACCGTCGCGTAAGCGAGCACATATCGGTAGTCCTGGTCTCAGCTCCAACACAGTCATCACAATTTTAATCACCCATAATACAAGCGGACACCTCTCCTATGTGGAGATAATTTTAGAAACTGTAAAGAACTTTCGTTTTCACAACGAGCAAGGTCAAGTTATTTTAACACAATATGACTGGGAACTAAAAAGAAAACAGAGAAACAAACAGACAAAAGCAAAAACAAAGTACAACAACAAGACATGAATCTTTGTCTTGTCTACTTACAGCTTCCTTATACTTTCTGTACTACGTGTTGTAGGAATTTCGTGACTCATCAAAATTATCATCCTTGTTAACACAACGACTTCAGACCCATGTCTCTCGCTACTAACCCCTCTACGGCGTCTTCTCCACGCCTGCTGGTACGTGATAGAATTTCATCGTGTTTTTAATACGTGAAATGATTTCCTTGAAGAAAATTCTTGTGGACACTTGACGGTTTATATATTGGTTGGTGAACGCGATACAAACTAGCACTTTTTTAAATTTGTTTTTCATGTCATTTTAAATACAAGGGTGCGCTGAAACTCGTCTATACTTGCCCGTGTAAAAATAATGTTTGAAGAAACAGTGTTTCTAGCCTTATTTAATGTGGTGTCGAGCGAAGCAAACATTATTTAATTCAAACAGCGGCGTTTTGTTGGTGCAGAAAATACTTAGCCTAAATATTATTTTGAAAGAAGCCGCTGATTGCAATCGGGCGCATATCGCTGGAACATATCTACTAGTGCCTATATAGATGCAATGATTGCACTGATTTGAAAACGTTCCATAGACATCGGCAGTAACTTGATTTTTTGAGCTGATCAACAACTGGATCAGTACAACGTTTTTTATAAAATCCTTGGATAAGAAAAGCACCGTTAATCACTTCACTGCGATACCACACCCAACAGAATACATGAAAAACACTTCGCTTTTGATCTGACACACTCAACCACTCTGCTGAACTTCATAGCTTAATTTCCGGCATATAATTCAGAAGAAAATTTTCCTCTTAGTTGTTGATTGACCTTCCTTAAAAAATCTTCATGAACGCTAACCCTTAATCTTTTTTTGTTGTTGATTAGTAATGCAGTTAAAATGCCGCAAACTAACAGCTCAAGTAGGAAGACAGTTGCGTAAGCGGGCACATATCGGTAGTCCTGATCTCAGTTCCAACACAGTCATCACAATTTTAATCACCCACAATACAAGCGGACACCAAAAAAAACAACAACAACGAAACAAACAAACAAAACCAAAAACAAAGTACAACAACAAGAATCTTTGACTTGTCTCCTTACAGCTCCCTTATACTTCCTGTACTGCGTGTTGTGAGAATTTCTTCACTCATCAAAGTGATTAGCTTTGTTTACGCATCGATTTCAGACCCATGACTCTCGCTACCAATCTCTCTACC